GCTTTGCGCAGTTCAAGCTTGTTCTCCTGGGTTAGTCACCGCTTGCTCATTTTGGAAATCCGTACATGATCGCTGACACAGTTCGTAGGAGAATCCGCCGTTGGAAAGGTAGCCCGCCCCAGCCTCGGCGGAGATGCATTGTACATGTCGCTGACCTGCCACAGAGCTCCATCGTCTTGCGATTCGTCAAGGTGAGCACTCCCCTCAAGCGCTGGAGGGATGTACGACGACCAAGCCGCTGACTCGACGTCCAGGACCAATTCGACTCGTATCGGGAATCGACCATCGGCGCTGCTTTCCTGACGCAAACCATTTCGCTCGACGAGAACACAACAGTCAAGTTTGAGATCTGGGATACCGCCGGCCAGGAACGCTACAAGTCGCTCGCCCCCATGTACTACCGCAACGCCAACTGTGCCGTCGTCGTCTACGACATTACCCAATCCGTATGTTTCCCCCCCCCCCCCCCCACCCACATGCCAACTGGCGCGGATGCGAAAGGCCGGCTAACAGGCAGTCAGTCGTCCCTCGACAAGGCAAAGGCCTGGGTCAAGGAGCTGCAGCGTCAAGCGAACGAGAACATCATCATCGCGCTGGCCGGCAACAAGCTGGATTTGGTCACGGAGCAGCCCGACAAGCGCGCCGTCTCCACGGCGGATGCCGAGGCCTACGCCAAGGAAGCCGGTCTGCTCTTCTTTGAGACATCGGCCAAGACGGCCGAGAATGTCCGCGAGCTCTTCACGGCCATCGCGAAGAAGCTGCCGCTGGATCAGGTCGGCCCTAGGCACGCGCGGCCAGGCCAGCGACAGGGCGTCAGCCTGACCCCCGAAAACCCGAACAACACCATGGGCGGAGGCTGCAGCTGCTAAGCAACGTGCTGTCATTTTCGACTGAGGTGGTGACAGGCGACTGCTGTTTGCAGAAGTCCTCCTTGACACGTGCGTGAGGGGCGGTCACGACAGAGAAAGGAGACGTTGGTTCTCTCTCTCTCTTCCTACCTACACATCACAACGACAGCTTGCTTCTCTTGGCGGGCAAGCCAAGCGAAGCGCCTTTCGGACACCAAACAGGAACACAGCGCAGCCTCGGACGGGGTTGTGTGGAGGGTGGGGGGAAACATGATGGCGTTTTTTCTTTTTTCTTTTTTTTTGCCCCGACATTTTAATACCGACACTGCATTTTGATCTGTGACTTAGCTTACATTCGCGTCTTTCACGAGGGCCGCCATGGGCTGTCAGTAGCAAGCCATAGCGGCCCGGGCTTGCTATAGGAACGGAGGGGCACACAGAGACACAATTCTTCCGGGGGCGAGCACACGCGGTGGGGCCATCGAGGGCCTCCCCGGGGAGAGGTGACAGCGGCGCATCCTTAGCATTTGGGGATGTACAGTATGCGATAGAGGAAGCTACTCTTAGGCGTAAGACAGATCTTTGACATGGGTTGGTGTGCTGTTGTGCTGGTGATGGATGTCGCATAGCGTGGAAGTACTGTGAGAGAACCATTGTGCTGGTCAATTGAGTGCTGGTGATTCCTGTTTGTTTCGATGTACATGTACCACAAGCCACGCAGCAGTGAGGTCATCCCGGTTCCTACCGTCCGGCAGCAGCAGGAAGCGCGAGCACTGGCCCGGTCACAGGCCACAGGCCACAGGCCACAGGCCACAGGCCACAGGCCACAGGCCACAGGCCACAGGCCAGTGGACAGCCGCCAGCGGACAGCCGGCGGCGGCCCAGCACCAGGACCCCAAGCTTGATTAGCCGAACTTCATCCTGAGCTTTTTTGTGCCTGGGGCCTGTCGTCAACCTCGCGTGGACCATCACATCACCTCTTTCTGACCACCCCCATCACCCATCACCCTCTACCCTCTACTCCGCCCTTACCGGCCACCACACGCCCCCATGTTGCGAACATCGATTCGGTCAGCAAGGGCAATTGGCCGCGCCCCTACTGCGTCCGCAGTCGGCCGCCAATGGCACGTCGCCGCCGTTCGTGCCAGCTCCAGGCACTTTGCCGACAGCAGGAAGCCCGATCCTGTCTCCCAGCCCGTCAAGCTGCCGACCATTGAGACGAACACAGCCAAGGAGAGCAAGCCTCCCAGACTCGTCGATCCCGAGCCTACTATTCCCGCCGACAACATTCCCCTGACGCCGCCTCCTCCTCCGCCTGCGACCAAGCCTCTTCCCGACACGGTGACGTCGGCAACCTCCACGACGACGCCGCCGCCTCCTCCTCCGCCTCGGGCCGCGCCTCCGAAGAAGGGCTTCTTCCGCCGTCTGAGGAACCTTGTGCTGACCCTCGCCGTCCTCGGTGCTCTCGGCTTTGGGGGTGGTGTCATGTACTCGAGGATCAATGATAACTTCCACGACTTCTTCACCGAATATGTTCCCTTTGGCGAGCAAGCCGTCCTCTACCTCGAGGAGATGGACTTCCGCAGGCGCTTCCCCAACATCTCCGACAGGATCAGCAGGACCCGTGATACCGGCGCCCAGGTGACCATTCCTGCCCAGAGCGGCGCCTCGTGGAGGGTCGCCGACAACGGCCAGCCCACTGGCCGCCAGTCGAGCGCTGTTGAGAAGTCCTCGGACAAGGTCGCCGCCGCGAAGAAGGCCGCGCCTCCTTCGGCTCCCGCCCCGACCCCCGAGCCCAAGCCCGCCCCTGTCGCGAGAAGCCTGTCGCTGCCGTCGAGGCCCCTGTCGAGGTCAAGGCCGCCCCCGTCGCTTCCAAGCCCGCCAAGGGCCCAGTTGACCGACGAGTTCCGCGCCCCCGAGGTCAACGAGCCCTCGAGGCTGCCGCCCATTGCGCCCATTGACCCCCTCAAGGTCAACGACGCCATGGAGCCCCTGGTCCAGGACCTCGTCCACATGCTGAACGACATCATCACCGTCGTCAACGCCGACAAGGCGCAGGGCCGCTACGGTGCCACCATTGACAAGGCCAAGAGCGAGCTCAACAAGGTCGGCGGCAAGGTCAAGGACGTCCGCGGCGAGGTCGAGAAGAAGGCTGCCGAGGAGATCCGCCAGAGGATCAACGACTTTGACGCCGCCGCCGATGCCCTCGTCAAGCGCGTCGAGGCCGCCATGGCTGCCCAGGAGGCCAACTGGCGAGGCGAGTTTGAGGAGGAGATGAAGCGCGTCAAGGACAGCTACGACGAGCGCGTCAAGGTCCTCCTCGAGCGCGAGAAGCAGCTCGGCCACCAGCGCCTCGAGAACAGCCTCCTCGAGCAGGCCCTGGCCCTGAAGAAGGAGTTCACGGGCGAGGTCCGCAAGCGCGTCGAGGACGAGCGCGACGGCCGCCTCGGCAAGCTCAACGACCTGTCGGCCGCCGTCGCCGACCTCGAGCAGCTGACGGTCGGATGGAACGACGTCGTCGACACGAACCAGCGCACGCAGCAGCTGCACGTCGCCGTCGAGGCCGTGCGCGCCAGCCTCGAGAGCGGCAGCGCCCACCCGCGCCCCTTTGTCCGCGAGCTCGTCGCCCTCAAGGAGATTGCCGCCGACGACGCCGTCGTCAACGCCGCCATCGCCTCCATCAACCCCTCGGCCTACCAGCGCGGCCTGTCGACGTCGGCCCAGCTCGTCGACCGCTTCCGCACCGTCGCCGGCGAGGTCCGCAAGGCCTCGCTGCTGCCCGACGACGCCGGCGTCGCCAGCCACGCCTCGAGCTGGGCCCTCAGCAAGGTCATGTTCAAGAAGCAGGGGCTCGCCGCCGGCGATGACGTCGAGAGCATCCTCACCCGCACCCAGACCTACCTCGAGGAGGGCGACCTCGACGCCGCCGCCCGCGAGATGAACGGCCTGCAGGGCTGGGCCAAGACGCTGAGCAAGGACTGGCTCGGCGAGGTGCGCAAGGTGCTCGAGGTCCAGCAGGCGCTCGACGTGAGTTTTCCTTTTCTATCTCTCTCATCTACTTCGGCCATCACGAATGGGAACAAATGCTAACAATCACAACAGGTCATCTCGACCGAGGCGCGGCTGCAGAGCCTGAGGGTCGAGTAGAAAAAATAAAGGGAGCAGTGGAGACGAGGAGGAAAGCACTCAAGTTTCTTATGTTTGGCTGTACATTCGATCCGGCGAGGGCTGGATGCGGCTTTCTAGATGGGCTTTGAAGGGAAGGGCCTGTGTAAGACATAGCAATAGACTCGATGAACACGGGCTGTTTGGACTGTTTGGTGACTGGCTTATTCCTGGGAGTCTGATGCATATTGGAGCGCCCTGCCGACGTTTTCTGGTGACTTCTTGTGATGCTGCTCTGTTGGTGAGTCTGTCCTTGTGAGAGCGACGGTATACTGATGTCGAGCAGGAAGCCGCACCAGAGCCTGGTAGGAAGCTGCACCGCAACCTGAGTAGACTCGGATTTACCTGACATGCTCAGTCCTGCAGGACGGCCTAGCCTTGTGCCATGATGCCTGTCCTGCTGGCATGTGTATGCCTGATGCATTTGCCTGCATGGCATGCTCAGTCCGCAAGACGCAGTCCGCAAGACGGTCCAGCCTTTCGCCATGACGCCTGTCCTGCTGGCGTGTGTATGCCTGATGCATTTGCCTGCATGACATGCTTGGCAGAACGGTAACGTTGGCGAGCTACGATACGACGGTTAGCGATGGAGGTGTCAGACGACGCAGCATGGCCTCGGTCTCGGTGCATGTGGCACCTTGCTGTCGAGGACAACCAACGTAGCATTGCCCTTTCATCGACGTACATCGATCCAATCCAGCCCTCTCTGCCCGCCTCGTGTCTGCACGCCGACATATCGGAAGGATGGCGATGCCCGTCTGCCAGAGCCTTGTGCGACCCTCCCGCCTTCGACACGCATGTCAGGCTGCGTATCTGCTTTCTCCTCTTGGCCCCTCCTCTTCTCCTCTTGTTCGTTTTCTGTTGTCCTTGTTCTCTCATTCTTCTCCTCTTTCTGGTGAGAACCACTTGGCAGTTCACAGTGGACTTATTTCTACGTACCACCAACTCACCATTCAGTGGCTTTTCTTCAAACGACTTCATGACAACATGCCTCGCTCCAAGGTGTCCTTACGGAAGTGGAAGAGCGATAAGTCGAACGACTCGCACCGTTTGGCGTTGCCGTCAGAAGCGGGACCGTCGATGGCAGCCAACGTTCCAGACCTGGGGACGACCCTCCGTCCGCCTGAATCACCTGAAAGGAGCCGTAGTCGGTCGAGGAGCCCGTTTTCGTCGCTCCGCAGCGCATTTCGATTTCGCAAGGATAAGGGGCCCGCCGGCATACAGACGACGGATCCTCAGGATGTTTCGACATCTGGAGCTGCTACTCTTTCTCAGTCCAAGGCGGACGCTCAACGTGCTGAGAATAGTGGCCAGGCCCCTGTAGCCTCCGTCCAGCCTACCGAGATGTCGTCGGCAGATGCGTCAGGAGGAGGGCCTGCAGCCTGCACGCTGCCGACACCCTCAGGCGAGACGACTGAGGAGCTGCGGTCTGATGATGCAGCCACTCGTTCTGAGACAAAGACAACTGTCGGGGATATCATGCCCGCTAATGTTGCGCAAGATCCGCCAAGCATCTGGGGCGAAGTGTACGAAAGCCTTGACCCTGAAGTCCAGCAATGGATCGGGAACATATCCGACACAGGCGACGAAAAACAGGCATCGGAGATTGCAGAGCTGGTGCGCCAAAAGGAAGACATGTACAAGGGCGCTTCGCCAAGATTGAAGATCAAGGACAGAGAATTCATATGGAGAGACTACGCCAACCGGGTCGTGACCTGGGTTACCACTATTGGTAACATCTCGGTCAGCTTCGCACCCGCCCCTGCGGGCCCGGTCTGGTCCGCCCTCAAGGTGCTGCTCAATGCACACGTCTCTGGGTGTGAAGAGATGACCGCACTTCTTGGCCTGGCTGCTAAATTCCTCGACATCGTCCGGCGAGGGCACGTGTACCGCATATGCTTTGGCCTCGACCAACAGCTGGAAAAGGACGAAGTCAAGATGGGTCTTCGGAAGACGATTGTCGAAACTTACACACATTCTCTCAAATTACTCTTCATCTCGTATAAACGCTTGGGAGAAGGGGGTTGCATGCAGCTCCTGCGAGCCCTTGTTGATCCTCACGAAATTGAAAACACCCTCTCTGAATTGGAGAAGCTAGAGGTCAAGCTCGACAGGGATGTTCAAGCTTGTGGTATTCAGTTGAGCTCCGCTGCGAACCTGCAACAGCAGAGTCTACTCGGCTCGTTGAAACAGCCGTTGCGACGCATCGACGAAGACGTGCGCAAGTGCCTCAGAGAGATCGAGGTTTCTCAACAGCAAAAGCTGCTCAACAGCATCAGCAACATACGAGTACATGAGCATCATGCAGCAAAGAAAGATAACAGAACCAAAGGGACATGCGAATGGCTCGTAGAGCACGAAACGTTTCTGGCGTGGGAGAATTCAAGTTGGTCATCAACGCTCTGGCTCAAAGGCGAGAGTAAGTTGCGCCCCAAATTACATTCGAACCCAGTCTTACTCCAAATGGCATATGGCTGATACTTCCCTTCCCTTCAGTCGGTGTGGGCAAGTCATTCCTTACTTCCAACGTTATTGATCGCTACCTTTCGGTAGCTCCGATTAGGGCGGACTCTGAGCACGCCTCCTCTTGTACTGATGAAGGTTTTGCCTTCTTCTACTGTGATCGATCGATCCCTGAACGCCAAAATTCAACCGACATCCTGCGGAGTCTGGTTGCACAGCTCGCGGGGCCTTCGACGAACAAACCTTCTATCCATCCGCAGATAGACAAGCTATGCGGGCACCCAGACGCAAGCCGCCCAGCACTAGGCATCGCCTCATGCAAGGAGATCTTAATAGATCTGATCAACACTTACCCTCGGTCCACTCTAATATTGGATGCCTTTGACGAATGCGACTGGAAGTCAAGGTCGAACTTGAAAATTGCATTCCGCCACCTTGTAACTTCTGCTGATAAGCCGGTGAAAATCTTTGTCTCCAGTCGTCCAGTAAAAGGATTTCCAAGGTATGTCAATCCTGGCGACCTCATTCAAATCAGCACGAAAGACAATAAAAACGACATAGCCAGGTACATCGACGAGCAGATGGAAACATGTCTGGCCACTCACGACGTTGTGTGGTCTCCGCAACTTTGCAGCAAGGTCAGGGAAACACTTCTCGACAAGAGTGGTGGCATGTGCGTATCTCCACCCTGCTGTTGACTTTATTTTCGCGAGAACGACATTCGTTCAAGGCGAAGATGTTTTGAATGTGTGCTGATGAGCTCGGTCACAGGTTCAAGTGGGCTCAGCTGCAGTGGGAGCAACTGCTTCGGTCAAACCATGAGGCGGACGTATTAGGACGACTTGACACTCTGCCGAACGATCTTTCTGCTGCATATAGCGAGATTTATGCCGCCCTCAGCGACTTCGACCAGAAGATTCTGCGCCGAGCTGTTGTTTGGACGAAATGGTTCAATGATCTTCGGAGACCCTCAGGAGACATGGGCAAGTTTGTACCTCATGCAGTGCGCCTACATCTTGTCACCACGAAAAGCGCCAGCGGGGAGGTATTGCGGCTGGGAATAGACCCGGATCCCGTCTCTGTCCAGAGTCTGGAAGCAATCTGTCGCCACTTCCTAGTTCGTAGTGCGTCCATCTGGTACGATTACGGCTACCCCCATGTGTCAGTCCTTGAATTTTTGGAATGCCATCATGCCGACTGGTTCGACCGAGTTGATGAACATATTGGGGAACTCATAATGTTGGCCCTCCAAGAGAGCTTGACGCATTGCCAGCTGCCGACCGACCAGTCAATGAGTGATTGGATTCAGAGCGGGCCTCCTGATGCACACGACATCATGGATGCCCGACATATGATCCAGGACATAGCACGGGATAATTGGCTTTACAATGCGATTCGGGCCCATAGGGGAGAACCCCGAACCCCAACCCGACAATACACAGAGGCTTTGACTCGATTCCTGGGAGGGGCACATCCCCAGGCCGTTATTCCTCGGCACATCGACATCCTCAGGCAGCTGGAGCAACTCAACTACTTTTCTACAGATGACTTATCTCAAGCGACACCAATAGCTTTGGCTTGTGTTGCTGGTTCTGTTGCCTTTCTGAACGAATGGACTCGCAAAGGCGGCACGGCCCGCGATGAACCAGGGCTGCTTGCAAGAGGGGCCCGAGGGGGCTCGATTGCAGTATGCTCTCGTCTTATTGCTTTGGGTTGCAACCCCAATGAATGTCTAATTGATGTCTCTGAGGATTGGGGTTCGACACCCCTTGCGACTGGTACTCAGTATGGAAATGTGGAAGTCGTCAAGTTTCTGCTGAAACACGGCGCCGACCCGAACGCACCCAGAGCGGACGATAAACTTCCACCCTTGGCAATTGCCTCTTCAAATTGCGCCGAGCTCGTGCCCATACTACTCGATGCGGGCGCAAGCACGGAGTATCTTTTGAATGGGCGGCCACACTCGATATTGAAATATGTGGTGAATGTTTCGTGGCTCAGCCCGACAACAGCTATGAGCATGCTTGAGAGGCTACTTGCAGCCGGAGCGGACGTGAACTCTGATCAAGATACATTTGGAAGCGTGCTTGCATACGTTGCCAGTTATGGATCGCTGGATCTCTTGAAGCTCCTTATCGAACTCGGTGCTGATGTGAACCGGCCTTTGCGGACTGGTTGGTACGGCAGCGTGCTAGCTGCAGCTCTTTTGGGGATCGACTGCAATATTCGAATTATTAAATGGTTGATTGAAGAAGCGAAGGCAGATTTCAGCCTGCTAAAAGCAAGCCCGCCCCAGCAGCCGGTCTGGGCACCTTGGTTCGAGTATTGCCTGCTCAGGTATGGAGATTCTCCCGTCGTTTCGGAGCTTTTTGCTGCAGATTCAAAGCTGACCTTGATAGTTTGTCTGGTGAACACATGGACGAATGGAAGCAAACCATAGGCACCTCCATGTTTGGAAAAATAGCCGATGCACGATGTGTTCCTCTTCAGATAATGCGGGATTTGGGATATCCAGCATTGCTGGTTGACGAGGTGGAACGGCTCAGATTAGCCTACGTAGAGGATAATTAGAATGCTAGGATGGGTACATCGAAGACCATAGATCCGATGCATGCAAAGAAAAAAGTGAAACAAAACAGGTGCACGCACCAGACTTTTGTTTGCTTTGATAGCGAGTTGGATTTCTACTATTCGACGTCTGCTGAAGCCGCCATGCGGGTCCCACGCTGTTCATGAATTGCACAGACCTCACGGTGATTGCACATATGCCTCCCTCACACATTGGGGATTCATTGAACGTCTCGCTCAGCTTTCAACCCACCAAACACCAGAGCCACTCCCGCCCATACTTCCATGACCAGAAGAAACGCTTGGTGCCTGCCAACCCATGACTTTTGCTTCCGACGAAGGAAGCTCCTTAAAGCGAAGCTCCATCCTCAGTCAACTCTCACGATATACCTCACTCGTCCGTCACTCCACCTCGAGACTCGGTTTCAAGCAACCCGCACAGCTGGTGCTTCACCCATTACAACTTGGGCCCCGTCACCTTCTCAACTGGGGTTCCCATCCAAGAACCCTCTGCATCTCAGCCGCGCCCACCACAGAACCACCAGCACCATGGCGACCGCACGACCCCGCGACTACGCCTCGGCCCTCGCGCACCTCAACCTCCTCATCCCCAACCGCTCCATCACCGCCCGCCTCGCCGCCCAGGCCCCCTCCGGCCCCGACCCGAACCTCCTCGCCATCCCCGAGATGCTCGACTCCCTCGCCCGCACAGGCCTGACGCCCGCCTCCCTGCGCCCCCTCCGCGTCGTGCACGTCGCCGGCACCAAGGGCAAGGGCTCCGTCAGCGCCTTCCTGACAGCCGCCCTGACAGCCGACGCGGCGCGCGGCGGCGCCGCCGGCCGCGTCGGCACCTACACGTCGCCGCACCTCGTCACGCCGCGCGAGCGCATCGCCGTCGCCGGCGCGCCCCTGTCCGAGGCCGCCTTTGCGCGCCACTTCTTCGACGTCTGGGACCGCTTCACGGCGAGCGCGCGCGCCCGCGGCGAGCCCGACGCCGACGGCCCCACCTCGAAGCCCTTCTACTTCCGCTTCCTCACCGTCATGGCCCTGCACGTCTTCCTCGGCGAGGGCTGCCGCAGCGTCGTGCTCGAGGTCGGCATCGGCGGCGCCTACGACGCCACCAACGTCGTGCCCGCCGAGAGCGTCACGGCGGCCGTCGTCACGAGGCTCGGCGTCGATCACGTGGGCATGCTCGGCGGCACGAGGGAGGCGATTGCGTGGCACAAGGCCGGCATCATGAAGAAGGGGCGCCCGGCCTTCACGCGCCTCGTCGAGGAGCGGCCCTCGGTCATGGCCGTCCTGCGGGCGAGGGCGGCGGCGCTGGAGTGCAGCGAGCTCGTCGAGGTGAGGGACGCCGACGTCGAGGCCTGGGGCGGCGTCGAGAGCGGCCTGCGGGGCGCCTTTCAGAGGTATAACCAGGCGCTGGCGGCGCTGGCGGCCGAGGAGCACCTCTGCGCCCTCGAGGGTCGCACGTCGGCGAGGAGCCTGTCGGGAGTGAGGCCGAGCGTGCTCGAGGCTCTCAAGGGTGCCTCTCTGAGAGGCCGCCACGAGAAGCTGAGCGATGCGGAGCGGGGCATCACCTGGCTCCTCGACGGTGCGCACACGACTGACAGTCTGGAGGAGACGGCCAAGTGGCTCGCCGCTGAGAGGCAGAAGCAGCCCAAGGCGGGCATCGTGCTGCTGTTCAACCAGCAGGAGCGTGAAGCAAGCGAGCTGCTGCTTCACTTCCTGGCGACTTTGCACAAAGAGATGGGCGATGCTGTCGACAAACCATTCAAGGCTGCCGTCTTTTCGCGAAACGACGCAAAGAGCGACGAGGGAGCTCCCGATGCTGACATGACCGTGCAAGAAAGCTGCCGCGAGGCCTTTGCGTCAGTATATCCAAGTGTACCAACACATATCACGCAGGACCTCACATCGGCCATTGAGCACATTAGTGGGTTCAGCGCACCAGGCGACGAGACGGAGCAACAGGCGGTGTTGGTGACGGGCAGCATGCACCTCGTCGGGGGTGTCATTGGGCTGCTGGAGCCGGAAGGTCTAAAATAAATCCACCACATCCAAGAGAAGATTCACATCACATAAACCGGAGGGGGAAAATCACAGGGCTTCAGCACCCTCGAGAATACCGAGGGCGCCGCCCACAAGATGCAAACTCCCTGTGACCAACGCCTGCACAGGCTCCTCTTTGGAGTCTCGCCCGAGGTTCTCTACAAAGTTCAGGGCCTCCTCGATCGTGGGGATCACGGATATCTTCGCGGCTGGATCGAGGGCCTGCCACTTTTCGGCAAAGCTCCGCTGCACAGTCAGAGCTTCAATGGCCTTGGGATCGTACTGGTTGTTGACAAAGTCTGGAGCGAGTTAGCAAATGGAGCCAGCGGATGAAGAAGAATGACATGACCAACCCTTCTTGTACCCCGTCGAGTAGGTGACATTGGTACAAAAGACAACATGGTCAAACGAGGTGCCATCGGCTCGCTTGATAGTGTTGTGAATGCCATCCAAAAAGTCGATCGCCTCGGTGCGACCCTGCTGGTTGAAAACAAGCGCCCTCTTTCCTGGCTTCTCCTTCGTCTCGCCGGCGAACCACTGCGCCGCCATCTTGAGACTGTCCGTCGTGTGCGCGCCGTCGAGGTGCCAAGTGACACCTTCGGCAGGCTTGACCTCGCAGCGGCCCCGCCACTCGACCTGCTCGAGGCCGTCCACGAAAGCCTGCGGCAGGGAGTCCTCCTGTCGCCTGAACGACGGGTCAATCTTGGTGAGCGCCGCCTCGGCCAGCGCCACGGCCAGACTGGCATTTCGCTTCTGGAACAGGGCATCCGGGCGGATCTTGACACCCTTCAGCCGCGGGTCGACGCCGACGTCGGTCAGGTTCACTCCCTTTTCCACGGCCCGCTCCCGCAGCACCGCCGCCGCGCCCTCGACCTGCTCGACGGTGAAGGCCGGGGCGCCCGTCTTCATGATGCCGCCCTTGTGCCACGCAATCTTCTCGACCGTGTCGCCCAGGGCAAAGACGTGGTCAATGCCGAGCGTCGAGATGCCGGCGGCCACAGGCAGCTGGACGATATTGGTCGCATCGAATTCGCCCCCGATGCCCGTCTCGAGCACGGCGCAGTCGACGCCCTCCTCCATGAAGGCATGCAGCGCCAGCAGCGTCATGTACCGCGCATACACGGGCTTCGCGCCCGCAGGCAGCTTGTCGATCTGCTCGCGCGAGCTCTCGAGCCTGTCCCAGACGTCGAAGAAGTAGCGCGCAAAGAGCGCCTCGGCAATGGGCTTCCCGTTGACGCGGATGCGCTCGCGCACGGCGACGAGGTGCGGCGAGATGAGGAGGCCCGTCTTTCGGGGCAGGCCGGTGGCGGCGCGGTGGCGGGCGAGGATCGAGTCGGTGAAGGCGCAGGCGGTGCCCTTGCCTTTGGTGCCGGCGACGTGGATGACGTTGAGACGGTTCAGGGCGGCGGGGGAATAGCCGAGGCGGGCTATGTAGGTGCGCATCTCGAGGATGGCAGCCTCATCGGGACGGATGCCGGCCTTGCGGCGGGCTTCGACGATTTCGAAGGGGGTCTGGAGGGAATTGAGGGCGTCGATGGCGTCCTGGTTGCTGTCAGCACGTAGAGCTCGAGGTTCGTGGACAGAGGAGCCATGTGAGGTGGCGGGTGGACGGCGGGGAGGCACACACATTGTAGGTTCTGGTGGTGGTAGCCATTGCGCGTATCAAGGTGAGCCTTGGTGTGAGGGTACGGGTGAGGATCCGCGGGACTCCAAGACACACATGATGCATCAAGGCAACGGCGGCTGATGCAGGTGCTGGTGTGAGTCCAGAGGCAGGTGCCGGTGGAAATGCAGGCAAGTGCAGGCAAGTGCAGGGCAAGTGCAGGCAAGTGCAGGCAAGTGCAGGCAAGTGCAGGCAAGTGGAGGAAAGTCGCGGGGAAGTCACGATTCGCGTCGCGCCCGAAGTCGGATCAGCTACCTTCCTACCCTTGGTGCCCCTCTTCAATGGGGTACCTGCCAAAAGACAATGCAGGGCAGGTGGCGGGGTCCTGGTGACTGCCGGGCGGGTGCGACCGGCTGGCCCTTCCAGTGCACCCCTCCTGCCCCTTTGGGCCACCATGCTGCACCACCTGCCCGCTCTCTTATCTCTCGTCACCACAGGTCCGAGATGTGACCCCCTCCTCTGCGCCTGCTGCAGGCGGCATAAGATTCTCGCTGCAGCCTACATAGATGTTTTCTGGTACCTCACTCTTTTTTGAAGCCTGCGCACCATGACCGATACATACAAGCTGTGGGTGGGCGGCCGAGAACAGCCGGGCAATGGCGAGCTGTAAGACTCCGTGTTGATGGGCCCTCGACCTCGCTATCGAGCCACTCACTCATCCTCTGTAGCATCCCCATCGAGGATCCCGCCACTGGAGACATCTTTGCACAGTAGGCGACTTCAATTCCATACCCTCATCCTACAGACTCAATATTGAGAACACACCACTCATGCTCCCAGCTGCCACTCGGCCTCCGTCACAGACGTCAATGACATCGTAACAGCCGCTCACGAGACCTTCAAATCAGGTGTCTGGTCAAAGGCACCCCGTCAGACACGCGCCGATGTCCTCGATGCCGCCGCCAACCTCTTGGCCACTGCCATTCCGCAACTCATACCGCTCGAGGTCCGCCAGACTGGCCGTGCCATCCGCGAGCTCAACGCCCAGGTCCCCACCCTGACCAAGTGGTTCCGCTACTATGCTGCTCTTCTGCGCACCGAAGAGCGTTCAGTTCTCCCTACATTTGGCAAGTTGCACAATTGGGTCGACCGTGTGCCCCTCGGCGTCGTCGTCCAAATCACCCCTTTCAACCACCCCCTTCTCATCGCCGTCAAGAAGCTCGCGCCGGCTCTAGCTGCCGGCAACAGCGTCATCATCAAGCCCAGCGAACTCACGCCATTGACGACACTACGACTGGGGGCTATTCTGCGTGAGGCTGGTCTTCCCGACGGGGTGCTTACCGTTCTTCCTGGATACGGCGCCACAACCGGCAAGGCGCTCGTCGAACACCCTCTCGTGCGCAAAGTGGATGTGACAGGTGGAACAGCCGCTGGTCGAGCCATCGGAGCCATTGCTGGGAAGAATCTGGCCAAGTTCACAGCAGAGCTTGGCGGCAAAGCACCGCTCGTCGTCTTTGACCAGGCCGACGTCGATGTCGCCGTCAACGGTATCGCCTTTGGCTCCTTCATTGCTAGTGGACAGACGTGCGTTGCCAGCACCAGGATCATTGTACAAGAGAGCATCTACGACGACCTATTGGCCAAGCTTCAGACCAAAGTCGAGTCCATCAAAAGACGTATGGGCGCGCCGAGCAATGTTGAGTCTATGATGGGCCCACTGGTCTCGGCGAAGCAGCTAAAGAACGTCGAGGATCTAGTCAATGATGCGGTTGTAAACGGCACGGCTGCCATACTCGCGGGGGGCCGTCGCATGACAGGTACGGGTTCGGTCGACGGCACCGACTTTTCCAAGGGCTATTACTTTGAACCCACGATTCTAGGCGCAGCTACCGGATCAGAGGAGCTTTTGACAAGTCGCATCTGGAAAGAAGAGGCCTTTGGCCCGGTCATTGTCGTGGCCAAGTTCAGCACGGAACAGGAAGCTGTCGACCTGGCCAACGACAGTGAGTTCGGTCTCGGCGCAGCTCTGTGGACCAAAGACCTGTCTCAAGCATTCCGCGTTTCGGAGCAAATCGACGCTGGCATCGTATGGGTGAACACGCACCACCGCAACGACCCGAGCAGTCCGTGGGGGGGAGCCAAGGGGTCCAGCGGCGTGGGCAGCGAAAACGGCCGGGACGCTTTCTACGCGTACACCAAGATGAAGAGTACGATTATCAACTACGCCTCGACGGAGGAAGCGCTCGCCGCCGACGATTGGTTCCGGGAAGGCACGGGGGATGTGAGGTATGGATAGTTGGAGCCCGAATCAACATTTGTCCGAGTCGTCGATAAAGGAATACCGCTTGTTCGCCCCATATGCTTGCGTGCCTAGAACCGGATCCTGAGATACCATCCGACACACTACCCTCGCAGCACACAATGTTGCGAAACAGCACGCGTACAGCAGGCTGGAGAACACAATGAGACCCCAGTAACCCCCCTACCGCACTGTTAATCTTACTTCATCTGGGAATACCCACCAGGCAAGCCACGGTAGCAACCGTGAACGCCGTGGCGAAATATCGCCCATACTCGCTCGTCTCACACAGCCTGCCGATGCACACTTGGCTAATGCTGATATTGTTGCTGCTGCCAAAGCCAAACACGACGCAGAACATGAAGCACTCCGGCATGGACGAACCTGCCGGCAGCCAAATGTCAGGAGGAAACGCCAGTACTCTATTCAGGTCAGTCAATGGACTTGCCATCGCGGTGGCGAGTTCTCCCAGTGCAAACCTTAGAAGCATGATGGCGGTGACAACACAAACGCTGGCGCGGAACATCGAGCAGCGCGGCCCGTACTTGCCGAAGAGCCGATGTAGATGCTGCAGAAGAAGCACAGGAAGACAACGGTCGAAAGGATCCAGCCGATCTGACTCTTGGCGTAGTCTTTCAGCTGGTTTGCGCTGACGTACCCTGTCTCGTCTAACGCCAGACATCCGGGGCAAACATGGCATGAAGCTCATGAACCAACAACAAAGTAAGTCTCCATGTTCGGGCCATAAGATAGCACCCTGCTCACGGTACAAAATCCCTTGAAATTGCTGAGCAAAAGGGTGCCGCCTGGACCGAGGCCACAGGGACAAAAGATGAGCTGCGTGAACTGGGAATCGAACCCAGGGCTCCCCGATGGCAACGGAGAATTTTACCACTAAACCATTCACGCTTGATATCCTGAGCGAAGGCTGCTGGATCAATGCAACGGAACCCGACGGGTACCATGATAAATCGCGCGGGAGCCAAATATCTTGTCTGGAGTCGTGGGATCACGGTGGGTGCATGAGGGCAAGATGTGGGGCTCGAGTCATGGTCGCATGGGCCGGCTCTTTGTCTCGATCTCTCCACATGGAAACTTTTCTGCATCTTCGGGTCCGTCTGACGCGAGCGGTAGCAACTCCGACGCCATGAGCTCAACCTCCCGAAGCCTCTACATCAACTGGTCGGTTAGCTCAGTTGGTTAGAGCGTGGTACTAATAATGCCAAGGTCATGAGTTCGACCCTCATACTGACCAGCGATAACTTTTGCCAGTCCGCGAGACTTTTTTTTCTGGCCTCCATGGCGGTGATGGGTACCATTTTGCCGCAGGAATGGGACAGTCGAGTGGTAGTATTCTCGTGAAAGGCTCAGTTGTGGGGCACAGACATTTCTTTTCCGGCTCTCCTCGGGATGGGCGTGGACGGTTCCATTGATCTATCTTGGGATCGAGCTCAGCAGGCCATAAGCCTGAACCTGCTAAGTGTGCCCACTGTCGAAGTGCTCCGCTGGGCCCGGCTCGGCGCCGTAGCACCTGACCCACCAGTGCCGCGACTTCGGCGTCTTCAGGTCCCGACAAGGCATGCAATTACGGGCCTTGGCAACGGGGGCATTTCGAAAGCTGCACATTGCGATTGCTGGCATATTCTGCGGTCGTCAGCCAGAGACATACCGTGGGCTTGTTGCTGCCTGCCTCCTCCGTGTTGACCACCTACTAGAACATGGTACCTATACTCTGGTAACAGCACTAGCTGAGTGCTGTAGAAGGAAGCGGCACAGCATTGGATCAAGGGCCCAGAGCCGACGAACACGACTCCTGGAAAACCACTTCAGCCTAGGAGAAAGCTATAGCTTAAGGTTTCATGCCAACGTACGTCTTAGTATGAAGATTGATCTGTTTCTCAGTAGGACAGGTGCATGGTCGTACGTATGGCGAATATGCGTCCTGGACTGTACACAGAAGCCACTGACCAGAAATGTGTCGGACAACAGTCGAACAGGCGAATCCGCGACAGATCGAAGAGTGTTGCCTGGAATGGCCCTCGTCTGAGAGGCTTTGGCATTGTTCGTCATCAATCTGTGAGTGCCAGGCACAGCAAAGGTTTACAAGACGGGAGGATGCTGACCGGCGCGGTTGGCAGGGCAGGGGACGACCTCGCTGCTGCGCCGCGCCAGAGTACTGACGGTGTCTAGCCCGCGGTAGGAAGTGGTGCTAGTCAGATGGCTGTGATAGGCCAGCTCGCCAATTTCCATCGTGTCGTGTAGTTTTGTCCGTCTAAGTGCATCTTGCATGCATGGTGGGTTTGCACTCATTGTTCGGAATCAAGTCTGAGAATGCCGTGGGACAGCGATGGCACGTTCTATATCAGACATCTTGTCTGCCCTCTCTGAGATGGCTTCCAAATGGATCAGCTTAGGCACCATACTCAGTTCGAATCCCGTCATTTCCTAATCAGCCATTATACATGGCCCTTGTTAGCTGGTTGACTCCCACGATCATAACACAATAAGGTCTGGCTCAACAACAGCGACTAACGTGCCGAGCGCGACTTCAGCGGCGGCAGAGCCCTCCTGCATGACAGCGTTGCCGGGAAAGTACGGAAGAGTCCCGTATGACGCCTGCAAGTTCAACAACAGCTTTGAGCCAGAGTTTGCGGCCAACTGCGCCTTCGCAGTGTTATTTGGGCTGACCCTGGGCGCCCACTTGGTGCAAGCCGTGACCTGGAAAAAGGTACGCGAACTCATCACTTCGAGTCTTGTAATTCCATTGGACTAACAGGCCTAGCGATTCTGCTGGGTAGTGACCATGGCGGCCGCATGGGAATGCACCGCGTTCGCCCTCAAATCGGCCGGCGCGAGGGACCAGCAAAATCAGATCTACGCCATACTTGGCCGGCCAGCTTTTCTTCCTCCTCGCGCCCTTGTGTACGTATCTCATCCTCAAGGGACCCTGTATCTAACTAACGGACTCGATGCAGGGGTGAATGCTTTCGTCTACATGACCATCTCCCGACTCGTGTACTACGTCTTGCCGGACCGCAGCATCTGGAACCTGAAAGCCACCCAACTGACCAAACTCTTCGTCTGGATCGACGTGCTGTGCTTCCTCGTGCAAGCCGGCCGCGGCAGTCTCCTGTCGGGCGATGACACGGAGATGATGCGCATCGGACAGTACATCTACGTTGCCGGCTGCGCTGCGCAGCTGTTCTTCATCGTCATCTTCTGCGCACTGATGGGTCGGCTGTACGTCAGGATGCGCGAGGCTCAACGCTTCGACCTCGGGATGACGCTTGTAAAGTCGCTCTTCTGGGCCTTGCTTGCCGTGCTCATCTTCATCATGGTGAGTTCATTTTTTATTTGAGTATCTTTATCACACAGGCCCTGCTGACTTGTATCTGCAGAAGAAGGCGATGAATTTGTCGCACGTTAAAGAGGCCCAACGATCGTCAGACACTTTCGAGATGAATGAGGCGTCGGAACGAGGCGATGGTCATGCAGTCTAATCTTTCCTTTTCCGTCCATATCCCACATCATATAGATAGATAGAAGCTATTTACTTTGACTGGAGCCTTGAGCTTATTGTTCGGGACCGGCCCTGGGACAACGTGCCTGCCAACCTACCTGGCTTCAATATTGGACTGACAGTAGGACCACCCTCGCCGCTCTTGGTCTCCCGCGATTGATGAAAACGGAGGTGAGAATTGTGCACATCTTGCATGTACGAAATGAGACTACGGCAGCAACCGTAAGATCGGGATCCCGGTCCGTTTCCATGGTCTGGTACAGTGTCTACAGCGGCTGACCCTCTGCAGGTCACTTTCAGCTGAATGTGCGAGTGACGAGGCGGCGACCCCGCCCTTCTACAATCAACAGCTCGCCGACAGAGGACCTTCATTGCTGAAAGAAAGTCTATTTTCTTGACATATGCAACTCTTCGGCACTCCCTATGAACCTTCGTGGATCACATGCCGCATGTAAGTGAGGGCTGAACATCTTGGCCCGTCTCACCTTCAGCCGCACTTCCCACGATGACAGCTCAGAGAAACCAGACGCCCTATAACATGCGCTGGCCAGCCGTACTGAAGTACATGTGAAGATGAAAGTATATGGTACCTCTAGATGGCGTACGCAACAGCTAAGCCCGTAATCCGCTTAAGCTTGAATGATTCCAGGGGTACACGAGCCAGTTTGACCCATTCCGACTTGACATAAGCCTACAAAGCTTCATCGTGTTTCAGCGGGGTACGTCGTTTAAGTCAATGTCTACCAGCCAAAACTCAACATATCTTCATTTCCTCGGGGTGAGCATAGCCAAGTGCAGACACATGACTAGCCCATGGCCATCGACGGCGATCCAAGCAAGGCCGCGGCCGGCGCCGGGTATGGTCTGTCCGGCGCTTCGTCACAGGGCTCTCGCTCGGCCGGCCAAGACTTCTTTGACCTGTCCAGCCTCGGGAGCACCCTCTCGGCCTCATCTGCTCTGCCTGCCGCGCCGTCAATAGTCCCGCTAAAGGAGGGCGGTGCCATTTCTGGCCTGGGGGAGAAATACAACGTCAGCTCAGCCTCCGGGACCGGGTCATTGTCGGTGCCTATCCAGACATCACCCGCCAGGCGCGGCATGCAACCACAGCTCGCGCTTCAGTACGATTCAGCCGCTGGGAACAGCGAGTTTGGCCTCGGGTGGCAATTGCGCGGCGGCGCTTCCATCACGCGGAAGACATCCAAAGGCTTGCCTCGATATCACGACCCCGCCTCAGGCCCGGAGTCCGATGTCTTTGTCCTCTCCGGCATGGAGGATCTGGTGCCTGTGTTCAAGAAAGACGCGTCAGGGGTGATTCTCCAGGACTCTGCGGGCAATCACGTCACCGAAGAGTCTGTCCGTGGCAACCATGTAGTGCGGAGGTATTTCCCACGCAGTCGTCAGACCTTTGCTCGCATTGAACGCTGGACGAATCTTGAAAGCCGGGACGACGTGCACTGGCGCGTCGTGACTGAGGAAAATAGCACTTTGGTCTTTGGCTCCGATGCCAACTCCAGAATTTTCGATCAGTCAGCCGCGGTCGATGGCAATATCCGCATCTTTTCCTGGCTTCAGTCTGAAACATATGATACATACGGCAATGCCATGACTTTCACCTACAAGCAGGAGGACTCGGCCAGTGTTAGTGGTGAGGCAGCACATGAGGCGTTCCGTACGCTTGAGAGCCGGGGGGCCAACCGATATCTGAAAACCATCCGATACGGGAACACGATACCCAACCGATCTCAAAACACCTGGGCTGCGTTTTCAGCATTCGAACTACCCCAGGACTCATGGAAGTTCTCCGTTATTTTTGACTATGGGGAACATGACGAGAGCCTTCCCAGCCCCGTTGAAGTCGGTGCCTGGCGGGCAAGACTGGATCCCTTCTCAACCCATCGGCCAGGCTTTGAGTTACGGACCTACCGACTCTGCCACAGAATCTTGATGTTTCATCATTTTACTGAGCTGGGCCAAGAACCTTGTCTGGTGTCCTCAATGGAGCTCGCATATAGCGAACACCCATCCCTGACAGTCTTGACGTCTGTTCGCCATTTTGGACATTCTTTTGATATCGCCTCAGGTACAATCATCTCACGCGGTCTCCCACCACTCGAATTCTCCTACCAGGAGTTTCCTTTAGATCAGGAGCTCGAAAGATTGACCCCGCAAGTGGTGGACGAGAAGAGCCTCCGCAATCTTCCCGTTGGCCTTGATGGAAGAGACTACCAGTGGATCGACTTGGATGGCGACGGTCTCCCTGGAATACTCATGAGGTCAGAAGCCGCATGGTACTACAAGCGCAACACCAGCGCCAACAATGTCCAGGCTGGGACAGAGCCACCTCAGGCCGTTGCCCAATTTGGAGAACTAGAGCTGATCCGCTCAATTCCGTCGGCGTCTGAACCTGAAATGTGTCACTTTGGTGATGTGACGGGTTCTGGGAAACTGAATCTCATTCAAACAGCACCCTCAGGGTGGGGATACTTTGAACGCGAAGCGGATATTGACGCTGGATGGACCAATTTCCGATACATGGCCAGGTTTCCCAATGTCGATGCCTCGAAAGAAAGTGTCAAAATGATCGATCTCACCGGAGATGGCTTACCAGATGTCCTCATATACGAGGATGAAGTCCTGACTTGGTACCCTTCGCTCGGCGAAGAGGGCTATGGAGACGGTGTCTCGGTTTCGCAGCCTTCCTCAGATCGTAGTTCCCCAATCTGCCTCTTCCAGGACACGGAACAAACTCTTTATCTGGCTGATATGTCGGGAGATGGTCTCGCTGATATTGTTCGAATACGAAACTCTGATGTCAGCTATTGGCCAAACTGCGGCTACGGCAACTTTGGCCGCATCGTCCAGATGGACGGCGCACCATCTTTTGACTACCAAGATGCATTCCATCAGGGAAGAATCCGCCTGGCAGATATAGACGGCTCTGGGACGACCGATCTCATCTATCTTTCAGGTCAGGGGTTGGACCTGTACATGAACCAGTCTGGCAACCAGTTTTCTGCCAGAAAGCGGCTTCCACCAAGCTTCCCAATTGATAACATCTCCGTTGTCAGTGTCGCGGATCTTCTGGGAAACGGAACAGCCTGTCTCACTTGGTCGACAAGCCTTCCCGCAAGCCGCCAAAGTATCCAGTATATAGACTTCACAAAGGGCCGTAAACCGCATCTTCTCAACCGCTTCGTCAATAATGTGGGAGCCGAGACGGTGATACGTCATGCGCCATCCACCAAGTTCTACCTGGACGATAAGCAGAGCGGAACCCCCTGGATCACGAGGCTTCCCTTCCCCGTTCACTGCGTGGAGCAAGTGGAGATCATTGACCATGTCAGTCACAGCCGGTTTGCAAAGCGATACAGCTACCATCATGGATACTTTGACGGCGTTGAAAGAGAGTTCCGTGGCTTCGGCCGAACAGACGAGTGGGACACTGGCGTCTTCGAGGCTGCGACGGGTCCCCGGATGAGCAACGAGGATGCTGCTTGGCACACCCCGCCCGTGCGGACGACTACCTGGTTTCATACCGGAATGTTCGTCGACGAAAGGACCTGGAGCCGCCAGATACAGGCCGAATATTTTGCGGACCATGTGCGTGAGGAGCTTCGGAGTTCGCCATCTCATGGTGCTTTATTGCCCGAGTCGGTCAATCCGTTCGATCCAGAGGAGACCAGCATCCTGAGGGAGCGTTTCCGGGCACTTAAGGGGAAGCTTCTTCGAAAAGAGGTTTACAGCGAGGACGGATCAGATTCATCCCGTATTCCATTTGCTATTGAAGAACACAACTATTCTGTCAAGGTGGTGCAAGATGTCCAAGACTCCCATCTCCACGCCGTCTGCACCGTCCAACCTCGAGAATCCGCAAGCTACTACATGGAGCGGATCACGGGAGATCCAAGGATCCACCATACCATGTGTCTGGATGTCGATGATTTTGGGAACACCCGAAAGGAGATAAAGATTGTTTACGGTCGGCAGCCAGGACTCACATCCCTGACGGGACCCGACAAGGCGAAGCAGGAATCGACACATATCTTGTATTCGGAGAATAATGTGACGGAAGCAATCGACGAGGGCGATGACTTCAGGCGGCCAGCCGTCTATAGCACGCGCACATACGAGATTTCTGGGTTTCAGCCGGCGGGCAACGCCGTGCAGTTCTCGTTCGCAGACTTCGCAGGCGAGCACAATGACTTTTCTCCCCTAACATCGCTACAAGAAATTCCCTTTGAGGAAGATCTGAATCTCACATCACGGCAAAAGAGGCTCATCAATAGATCCCGTCTTGTCTTTCGAAAGGATGACCTGACTGGAATGCTTCCTCCTGGGCACCTCGGGAAGCTAGGCCTTGCTGGCGAGAGTCATACCCTCTGCTACACCCCTGGTCTTCTGGCCAAGGTTTTTAGGCGCTCGAGAATCGACGGAACGGAGGAAGCGCTGATAAGAGACCCCAAGATTACCCCTGGCGGCCTTGTAGAAGGATCACGACTAGGCTATGTGGACCTTGAGGGCGACGGGTCTTGGTGGGCCAGCGCGGGATCTGTGAGGTACTCTGAGACAGCCACCTCCGATCCAGCTTTGGAGCTCTCTCAAGCCAAGAATCGGTTCTTTGAAGCAATTGCGTTCCTTGATCCGCTCGGCCATGAATCAAGGGTTTCCTACGACTCTTATGTCTTGTTACCATCATGGACGGAGGATGCAGTGGGAAACAGGACAGTAGCCGAGATGGACTACAGAGTTCTCAAGCCCCGTATCGTCACGGATCCAAACGGTAATCGAACAGCAGTGGCGTTCGACGCCATGGGGATGGTAGCAGGTGTAGCAATCATGGGAAAAGAAGGGTCGGGGGAGGGAGACTCACTTCAGGGGTTTAGGCCAGACCTCAGTCAAGCGGAGATCAACCTCATCCTCTCTGAACCTAAAAGTCCGGCCGCATTTGATCTGCTCGGTCAAGCAACCCGGCGCATCATAAACGACTATGGGAGGTTCAGAGAGTTGCAAACACCTGTGCCGTCGGTTGCCATTGCGCGTGTACAACACACGCATATGCCGAGCGATAGGCGAACAGCCGTCAGCATTTCCTACTCAGACGGCTTTGGCCGGATAATCCAAAGCAAGAAACAGGCGAAACCTGGCCCGCTCATAGAGGACGGCCCTCTATCAAGTACTCGATGGGTCACGTCCGGCTGGGTTATCCACGACAATAAGGGAAACCCAGTGAGAGAGTTTGAGCCCTTCTTTGACGACACGCATCATTTCAAATTCGACCTCCGGGCCGGATCATCGTCTACCTTGATTTATGATTCCATGTCCAGGATTGTTGCAATTCTGCGTCAGGATCACGCGTTCTTTAAGACGGTGTTCAAAGGCTGGACTGAATCCATCCATGACTTCAACGACAATGTTCTCGTTCCCAACGTCCAGAACGATGATGATGTCGGCCATCTACTTCGCGGCTTGAAAAGCCACGAGTTTCTTCCATCATGGTACGACTCGCGCATCAACGGGCAAGACGTTCTAGAAAAGGCTACTGCAGAGAAGACTGCAGCTCATGCGAATACGCCTCGCGTGCTTTACTCCGACGCCCTTGGTCGTGTCATTGTGCAAGTTGACGATCTTGGCTCTGGTCAAACCATAAGTACTCGATCCAGGTTTGATGCCAGCAACAACATTGTTCAGGTTTCAGACCACCTAGGACGGCTCGTGAGTGCGTTCGAGTTCGACATGAGGGGTCATCGCATTTCCGAAGCAAGCATGGACGCCGGGCGGCACTGGTCATTACCCGATGTGACTGGCCAACCAGTGCTGCAGTGGGACTCGAGAGATTTCCGGCTTCGACATGTGTACGATGCGGCAAACAGGCCAGTCGAGACGTGGATGAGCGAAAGTGGCGCGAATGAGATCATGGCCAAGCAGTACATATACGGCGAATCAGCCCCGGATTCGCTGGGCCATAACCTTAGGAACCGCCTGTACAAGAGCAGAGATGGGTCAGGAGAGATGACCATTCTTGATTATGACTTCAAGGGCAACATCATCAGTACCGAACAGCGACTAGCCAGCAGCTACAAGGACACACCAAACTGGGCCGGTGCAGTTGGCCTCGAGGTCAAGCAACAGAGCACGACCACGTTTGACGCGCTTGACAGAACGGTCCTATCAGTCTCGCCAGACATGAGTCAAGTATATATGATGTACGACGACAGCGGTTACGTGGATCAGCAGTTCGTGAATGTTCGCGGCGAGTCAACTTCCCCTGATCGGTCAAATTGGTCTGCCGTCATCACTGGTGTCGATTACAATGCCAAGGGCCTTCTCACGTCCATCTCTTACGGCAACGGAACGAAAACTAAGAGAACATACGATCCGTTACTCCATCGGCTGCAAGGCATGCGAACGACCAGGACGGGCGACCCCAGTCCACTCCAGGACCTGACTTACACGTGGGATCCGACTGGTAACATTACGCATGTTCAAGACAGAGCCCAGCAGGCAATATTCTTCCGAAACAACCGCGTAGATCCGAGCTCAGACTACACATACGATGCCATGTATAGACTTATCAAGGCCACTGGACGCGAGCATCTGGGACAGACAGACGGGCGTCCGAACAATCCCTCGGCACCTGGGCCGAACACGGGCTCCGTCGTAGACAGTCCCAGCGACGGCAACGCCGTGGCTGGTTACGCCGAAACATACGAATATGACCTCGCTGGGAATGTCATGTCCGTCGCCCATGCCCTCAGCGACGCGAGCCGTCCTGGCTGGAAGAGGACCTACTCTTACAACGAGCCCAGCTTCCTCGCAGCCGGTCAGGTTGGAAACCGCCTTTCCGAAACCAAGGTGGGCTCCGTTTCTGAGTCGTACTCGTACGACGCAGGCGGCAACATGACTTCAATGCCTGGCCTTCGCACAATGAGCTGGGATTTCAACGGCATGCTACGAGCCACTACCAAGCAGATAGTCAATTCAGGAATACCCGAAACGACCTACTACGTGTACGACGGATCAGGCAAGCGCGTCCGCAAAATGACGGAGAGTCGAGGCGGAGGAGAAGCAGACAGCCCCGATCCGAGGCCCATCAAAGAAACTACGTACCTGGATGGAGTCGAAATCTTCCGCAGATGGGCGCGAGATACGAACGAGCCGACTGTCGTGCGTTCGACCGTGTTCGTTGACCACGACGGACGGAAGGTGTATCAGGCAGACAGTCGAATAGAAGGGACCGACAATAGTCCAGACCAAAGTACACGCTTCTCCCTGGGCAATAATCTCGACAGCGTCACGATGCTGCTCGACGAACAGGCGCGGCTCGTCTCGTATGAAGAATATTTCCCTCATGGTAGCACATCCTATCAGTCGACGGCGAACCAAAACGAAATACCAAAGCGGTACAGGTACGCTGGAAAAGAGCGGGATGAGGAGACGGGGCTGTACTATTACGGCGCGAGGTACTACGCACCCTGGCTAGGCCGCTGGACATCCCCTGATCCAGCGGGGCTCGCAGACGGGCTGAACCTGTTCTGCTTTGTGCGGAATAATCCTGTATCGTCCACAGACTCTGGG